AATTCGCCTTGTAAGAAATTTTACAACTTTAAAATTAACTGTCAAAGGATGTCTAAAGTAATGATGGTACTCACTGTTTGAGGCATTTAAGGTGCAAAGTAGTTATGTAGCAATCCAGCATACGTTTTGTTGTTGGAAAATTAATACCTAATAACCCCTTAATAAAAGGCCACAAAGAGTGATATCACGCAGAAAAGCCTGAAAGTATGCAATTTTATGTTATAGCGGCGCAGGGTGTAGATAATGAACAAATTCAAATCACAACTCTTCAATAGAAATTTGATTTGGGCACATTATAATATGTACCTACATATGTAGTATGTATCTGCAAATGCTACATAAAACATATGTCCGTATTTCTTTCTTAAGTATAGTTTTTTTTTGTAAAAACATCGCTCTCATGACAAGTAGGATTAACAATCCTGACGGAAGAAAGTGGTTTTTTTTAAGTCAACAAATTTGAGAACTACTTTGAAACAAATACATTGAGTAAATGTCATAAAATTCGATGCTATTTTTACCCAAAGAAACCATTTGTATCCTGCAAATATGCAAAAAGCAAATCTGTGAAGTCCAGAACGAACGCGTATTCAAACGAAAAATACTGACTTTGAAGTTCGTTAAGCCAAATGCATTTTAAAGTAATTGTAATCAAATGCAGAGTCGGATAATTGACTGCTTCCTAGGACATCGCCATGTTAAATAAGTCAGTTCATTGAAGGGGAAAAAGTGGGAATTTCAATTAAAGTAATTTAATTTCCTTCACGGATTTATATATTCAAATCTTAACTGCTTATATATGCGATAAAATTAATGAACTAAAATAAAGCCTTATCCTTCGATACCCTTTTACTTAATCGTATTCATCTTACAAAAGTGCTATATTTTTTCAATATGGGGTGGACTGGACCCAATAAACATAACGAATTCGCCTTGAATTCGAGGCGAGTGTGTTTTCTCTGATAGAACTATCGAGACGAATCGAATTCGAATCGAGTGTTGCTAGTTTTTCGAATCATTAATGAAAATGTAATAACAACAAATGATGTTTCTAAGGACATCAGAAAATGTGAAGTGAATAATTTAACATTGATTAGCACATCTGTAACTAAATACCCATTTCCAGAAATAACCAAGGTTGTACAAATCACTTTAAACACAGATATTTACTTTGTTCCGATTAGAGGTGGCAGATATTTGCGTTCCCGTGACTTTGTCACGGTTACTCCAAAAGTTACTGGTAACTGCTGTGACAACTTCCAAAAAGTCACCGTGACAGACTGTGACAAACAGTCGCAATGAGGTTTTAGTAGTCGGATTTCGCCTTCCACAATTACAGTAACAGTCGCTGCTACGAACTGTGACTGTGATAAAGTAGCACTCTCAATTACATATCGAGAAACTGCGAACTTAACCTTAATTATTTAGGAGAAAAATTATATTCTTGAGCAAATGCAGTATATACTCGTAAATATGTATATAGTTGGGTATATCCTCGGTACGGAGGATGTATTGCCCGAGGCGGTCCAAGTCAGCTAGGCTCTGAAATCAACTTAAGACTTAAAGTTCATCACCAGCTCCTTGCTCTGGGATAGAAATTTCACGGCGGAATAAGGTTATGCCTACGCCCAACGTAGAGTGAGTAAGGATCTCATGTCGATGTGCCTGAACTTAGTAACAAGTTGTTCTGCGGTTTGTGAAATAGCTATTAATCCTGGTAAGACCGAGCTCATTTTATTCGTCAGGAGTTATAATGTGTATAATATTTAGAAGCGAGTAAAAACAAGGTGGCCTATTTGGCTGTTACGGTGCCATTGGTAAAAGATGCAGCCTCCAAATCTAAAACACATGTAGCTGTATAAAGACCATTATAGGAATAATTGATTGTTATATTAGTGCTTAGACGAGCTCCACCTCCGATTTTGCGGCTGTTTTCGGAAGAGGTTGCCGATACAGAGAAGTAGACGACTACACATTTACTAGAATAATACCGTCGAGAAGAATAAACATTTAAACAGATAGCCAAGATGAGAGTGATTGCTCGGTAAGGGAATGCTTGACCTCTCTCGTGCGGTCGCCCCGAAATACATACCAATTAGGTTGATTTTGGTCCCATTTCAGTTAACTGAAAGATTGAGGAATTTGCTTACATGGGATCTTCGAGTTTATTTTTCCTGGCAGAAAGGATATAGGAGTTCAAGTGGTACTCATCTTTGGGCGAACCCTAAGACATTCACTACTGCAAGGACCTTCCAGCAGCTGATGAACCGTAGGCAGCCAAAATAGCTTCTTAAACTGACCAGGCATTAAGTCTTCGAGCAAGAGTGTAAAGAACGTGAAGAACGTAGGGCATCTCAGCACTCAGCTGCCCGCTTTTGCTAAGCTAAATCCGAGGGAAATCTCTGCCTTCGGAACTTCATCTTGAGCACGCAGCGCTGCCACCTACCCCAGCCCTAAGCTAAAACATCCATCCATCAAAAAACTTTAGAACAGGAACTCAAATTAATGTTGTTTTTAATTTATTGCAGGCAACGTGGAAAGAGCGCTTACGATGACTAATGAACTATTGGAACTAACACCCGACCATGAACGCGCCAGAGGCAATAAGGTATTTTACGAAAAGGAGATAGCTGAACTCCAAGCTGAACGCAAAGTCAAAGGTGACGATGGTAGCGAGAGTACACCTGTCTCTGATTTGGTAAGTCTACGATGCCTAATTTGGCAGCAGTCGGAATTCACTAACAATTCAATCTGCTTGATTGCAGCCGATTGCCAAGGGTGATCCCAGTGATTATACCTTTAGCGAACGCAAAGCATACGAAATGCTTTGTCGTGGTGAATTGAAGCTGACCCCAGCGGATTTGCGACCACTCCGATGCCGTTATGTTAACAATAATGTGCCCTTCCTGCGCTTGGCGCCACTCAAACTCGAAGAAGCCTTTTTGGACCCTTATATTGTGATCTACTATGACGTAATGCATGACAAGGAAATTGAATTGGTTAAGAAACTGGCGCGTCCTCGATTCCGTCGCGCTACCGTCCAGAATGCGGTGACCGGCGAATTGGAAACCGCTAATTACCGTATCAGCAAATCGGCATGGATACGCACAGAGGAGCATAAGATCATTGAAAACATTGTACAACGAACAGAGGATATGACGGGTTTAGATATGAGTGTGGCGGAGGAATTACAGGTGGTGAATTATGGCATTGGAGGCCATTATGAGCCGCATTTTGATTTCGCAAGAGTGAGTTGAAGACAGAATTAAACAATGAAATTATTTTAGCGCCAGGGAGTATACATTGAAATTTTAACATTGTATCTCGTTCCTTACAGAGGGATGAAATTCGTGCCTTCCAAGGGCTCAACACTGGCAATCGTATCGCAACGGTGTTGTTCTACGTAAGTCTACTTTGATGCCGTTTATAGGCAAAATATCTCTGTAAAATTATAGCCGAAGGTGGTAATGTAACGCGTTTACGATGTGAAATATCTTTTTGTTTTTACCTCGTAGATGAGTGACGTGGAACAAGGTGGTGCCACAGTCTTTACAAACTTACGCATTGCTTTGTCGCCCAAAAAAGGATCAGCGGCCTTCTGGTACAACCTGCACAGGTCCGGTGAAGGTGATTTCAGAACGCGTCATGCGGCCTGCCCTGTTCTAACTGGCTCTAAGTGGGGTAAGAATACATACAAAAAAACATATGTGCATACATACATGCATATATTTAAGTATGTATATTTATGTACATACGTTCATACTTACATACATCGGTAATATATCTGTAATAATAAATACTTACTTATCTCTTTCAGTCTCGAACAAATGGATACATGAACGCCAACAAGAATTTCGTCGACCTTGTGGTCTGGAACCTGACCACGGCGAATTTGCAATTTAATTCCATTTAAAGAAAAACCAGCAAGCGGAAGTATGCGTACGAGTATTTAAAACTTGATAAGCATTCAAAGTTGTTACCTAAGAGTTTTAACTTTTTGAAGTCGTACGAAGCTTTATGTTTATATTTGACCGTTTACATGTCGGCCATAACTTTGTATTTTCTACATTGTTACTGTTAGGGCATTCAAATTGAAACTGTTATCGGCAACTGTTTGCACATTTAGAAACGCTATGAAAAAATCGACTCAGAAATTCGGTATGCCATTTTGTAAATGTCGCGTTTTTTCTAAAATTAGTGAAATTCAATTTTATAATTGTTAAGCTCTTTTTTATTCCACTTACATAAGTACATATGTATATTTGTACTATTCTGTTTGTACATGCGTAGATATACATACATACATATGTATATGTATGTATTTATTTATCTTATAAAGGTTTTTTAATATAAAAAAAAAATGTTAAATTAAAAACGAGTTTTGCAATATATTTATATGTATACATGAATTTTTACTATTTTTGGTTTTAGGGGAGGTGGAAAGGTGAGTGCAACCTTTGTTTAAAAGTGCTCAAATTCTTTGATGCGTATTCTTTTTGCGCTTTATTTATTTTTTCGGAAAAACGTTAAACGTCGAAGGTATAGAATAAAGGTAATGCCGCATTATACTAAAGCCAGCTTCCCGACATAAGCTACTTTTCCATAAGAATACAGATATGTATGTATGTATATATGTATGCACATGTGTACAGTGTTGCCAAACATGGGCTTTTCCTACCAAAACTGGTAGGTTTTTTTCCATTTAGTAGGTTGGTAGGCTTGATTGGATTTCGGTAGGTTACGTGACAATGAGTAATCGTTATTTGCGAAAAATAGAAAATATGTACGTACATATCTCCAAATATTTTAGCAACCTTTTTTACACAAATATTTCACCGGTGCGTTCGTATAATGGCGGCCACAAACATGTAAATATACCTGATTCCTAAGTACAAAAGTTATTATTGCCAATATGCCATACGGACATCCATATATCGTGACCTAAGGGTGAAAAGGTGCCAAGTCCATTTTTAAAAATTGTTCAAGAGAGACGAAAAATCGATGTAGTTTCGTATTACCTGTTATCTGCGATATAATTTATGGCGTACTTGGACCAAGATTCCAGAAAAGTCTGCCAATGGGCTCGTACTCAACCATATTTCAGGCGGAAGTCTTCCGAATCGAAGTCTGTGTTCGCGAATGTCATCGTAGAAGGCAAATGAGGCCAGAATAAATTATATGTCGGACATTCAGGCAGCGTTAAAGGCCTTAGAGTCTTTTAAAATGGCATTAAGGCTTGTAAACTTTTGAACCACCTGCGAGCCCACAATAGCGTCACGCATGAAGGGTTTGAAGGCAACGAAAGGGCTGACTGTCTCGCAAAGCGTGAAGCCCAAATGCGTTTGCATGATCCCTAACCTTTCCGTGGTACATCTAAAGGATACACTGCATACCTACTTAGGAGCTAGCTGGGAATAATCTCAAATTGCTGCCTATTGGCGGAAGTCAAACGGAATAAGATAATCAAAGATAAGCGTAACTCTTTCCAGCAGGAGCTCCAAAAGACACCTTGAATTTAGAACTCTTACTGGCTACCTGACAGCACACAGCAAACTAACGTACGATTTTAATTAAATGGGTATTTTTTTAAATGGGTTTGTCGGCTGCTGAAAGAAACCCCAGAGTATATTCAATGTGCCTGCCCACGAAGCATGAATCGTAGATTGATACACCTTGGAGAACGATTGCCTTTTCCATCTAAAATTTGGAACATGGCCTCATCCAAAGTGCTGAGCTTTTTAATAGCACAATATATCTTCTTAGGTCACAGCGCGGGTATCTTCGACGTAATAATAATAATATCGTCACTAGATACGAATAAAGAGCTCGGAAAAACTCTTTGGGGAGTTCTGGGGAATACTGTTGCACTCGAAAATATAGTTGACCGCGGGTCTTTCTTCGCTGTCAAAGAGGTTAACGCGGCTTTATTTGCCGTCACCTATGTTAAGAGTCTTTCTTCGCCGAATGTTTTTTACGCCTCTTTTTTTTTGCTATCAACTTTTGAGCTCGCGTCTTTATTCGTATCTAGTGACGATATGTATGTATGTGTAAGGAGACATATGTGCCCAGGGATAAGTCTGTACAGTAAAATGAATCGTTATACGCAGTTAATTTGTTTTTATTAATCTAGTTGTGTTTTAGTTTTACTAAATGTTATGTTAACTATGTTTTTAAAAAATTTGACATTGAAAACTAATATTAAAACTCAAAAAAATGTTTGGTTGGTTATGGTAGGAAAGGTTGGTAGGAAAAAAAATGTCTCTGTGGCAACGCTGCATTTGTATATACACCCCGCGACAAAATGATACGATCACTCAGTTTTGGCTACTTATTTTTGATTGTATTTTTCAAACTAATTTGAATTATTTGTTTATACAAGTAATTTTTCCTTTAAAAAAAAAGAATTATAGAAATTGGTTAACGTAGTCCACAGTGGTGCGGTAACATACATAAAAAAAATGTATATGTATATATTCCGACGAATAACTCTCTCTTTTTGTGAAGTCGGTTATAGTGATGCCAGAAATTCTTTGTTAAATTACCCACGAATATCGAAAAAAATCCCTCAATTACCCACATCTTAAAAATGAATGTATTGAAAACATATATTTCAGAATTAAAGAAGTAACATTCATGTTACCTTAATATGCATATATGTATGTACATGTAATATTCTTTCGAAATTCGATCGATAGATTATGCACTAAACGCTTAAAAGAATTTAAAAACATTAATAAATTAGCTTCAGTGTTTATCGAAACCCAAGATTTTGAAGAATCTTTTTTTTTTGTTTTTCATTTTTTGAATACTTACTGGCAATTCTTAAAATGATCACCGTTACAAATTTGTTGCATAGTGTATGCGAATATGGTTTCTGGTGACTTTAACGTTGAAGCACTTGACATTTTATTATGTGAAAAATAACACTGGTGATGCGGTATAATGACCAGTTCTGGCTAACATTTCTTTTGTTTTTTAATGTTAAATATTTTTTTTAAAGAGTCTAGTTCATTATATAATAAACTGAATCACCATTTCAAGCTTTGTACAAAAATTCTATAAATTCAAGCAAAATTTCACCTTAATTTCAATCCTTTATTCAGAATTTTGAGAAATTTTACGTATGCTGTTGCATGAAATATTTATTTATTTTTTTATTTTTTTATTTATTTATATTTATTTTTATTTTTTTTATATATTTTTATCATGTGCTGTTGTGTAGCCTGCTAAATTTTAGTAGGATAAAGTGCAAGTTTCAAGTGTACAAAATTCCGTTAATTTTTTCCAATTTTTTAGCTGACGGTGTTGTGCATTTTCTTCCACATAAAGTATGCTCCATGATTTAGGTGAAAATTGGTTGAATTTTCATAATTTTTGTACAAAGTTCAAAATGCAGATTTATACGCAGTTTATTATATAATGAGCTAGACTTTTATAAAAAAAATATATATTATTTTAAACATGAAGGAATTTAAGAAATGCTGCCAAAACTGTTAAAAAAGGTGTTTCTATTATTTCTGCCAACTGTGTAGCTGTTAATTTTTTAGGCTTGTTAGAAGTCGGCGAACGACTCTATGCAAATATTAATTCGAAAATATACGATAGAGTTATAAAATAACCTAATCATTTTTTCTTCCCAATTAGACACAAGCGAGGGCATGTGTGCAACTGTGGCATACTCTTTAAAGAAAAACATTACTCCATTTGTATGTATGTACCCTAAATCTATCTCAGTTGATCATACTTATATATGTAAGTAGGTATGTACATTAGACTACAGCACCAAAAAAAGTTGCGGGTTTTCCGCCGGGATTACAAAATCTAATATACATACATATATATTCAATAGAATGGTATTTTGCCACTCTTTTAATTTCTTTGCAAAAAAAAACTCACTCACGTCCCTTTTTTCCAATACCAACACATCTTAATTCAACTTGGAATGACGCTCGTTTATCCTACCTTTCTCTTTTATCCCTTGAATGAGTTTTTTATCAAAAAAAAAAATAATACCTCACAAGTCTAAATGGGAATAGGTTAGGTTCAGTTATTCAGGTTTTTGTTATACCAATCTTAGAAAAAAGTTCAAAACAGCATTTTTTATGCAAATTTTTTAAACCTAAACCGTTTTGTCATTTGAGGGTTTTTTAATCTTTAAGAAATTATTTTTATTCATAAAAACTCCATTTTTGGAGGTATTTTCAAATCGGTCCAGCTCAAATATAATAGATTTTATAATTCCAATGGAAACACAGTACCTATTTTGTAGTGTCCGACCGAAGCTGGAATTTTGGCTGAAGCCGAAACCTAATATTAGGTACTATTCAATTTTCGGCCGAACACCGAAGCCGAAGCCGAACATTAAAATTGAGTTTTACGTTTCAAAAATAGCAAGTCAGTGATTTTTTATTTCGTAAAAAGTGAGATATCGTAATAAAAGGCTTGGACTGTATATATGTGCAATAACGTTTTACCTTTTTGAAAAGAGTTGCCACCTTTTAAAAAATTATATTCAAATTATTTACAAAAAAATAACCTATCCCAAAATGGGTATCAATCGAAATGGGTTTGAAAAGCTTTGTTTCTTAACTGAAATATACGAGAGTTTCCACCTGTTTAAAAAATTATGAGTCCCAAACTAAAGGGGTTTCAGAAAGTTGTAGTATTTTGAACAGGGTAGCTATCTGCTTGAAATCTCGAATTCAGTTTACTTATACACAATTTATATAAAATATCAAAATATGGATACGAAACGAAGGAGTAATAACAAATATTTAGTTTGAACGCAAAGAATATTTTTGAGGTGTTGGAAGAGGGTTACCACCCGTTTAAGAAGTTAAATTAAAATTACTTAATAAGTTAAATGAATTTTTTAGATATGGGTATCAAATGCAGGGGGTTTGAAATTTTTTTATTTCTGACCATATTTTGCGGGGGTGCCACATGTTGAAAAGTCAAATTCCACTTAATTCATCAGTTAATTAAAATATGTATCGCTATGTCCGACGAAGGAGAGTTAACAAGGATTAAGCTGGAAAATACTTTTGTAGGGGGCTGCCACCTGTTTGAAAGGTCTAATTCAATTAACTAATACAAGAAGTATATGAAATAAAAAAATGCCACAGTCAAACAATACAATATTAAGAAATCTTTAGTTTGAACGTTTTGAATGTTTGAAGAGGGTTGTCACGTGTTTAAAAAGTTACATTCAAAATATTTAATAAGTTGTATGAATTAATAAAAAATGGCTATCGATCGTAATGGGTTTGAAACGTCTTTATTTCTAACCTTTATTTATGAGGGTTGCCATGTATTCGAACAATTTAATTCAAATTAGTTCATCAGTTTATTGAAATACATGCGTAGCACAATGTCAAACGAAAGAGATTTTAGAGGATATTAGTT